GAGATCAGAGGTCATCTTATTTCCTCCCATCATGTTGAGTCTTGGGGAATTAAACTCAGGTCATCAATTTTGGTGGGAAGCATCCTTACCGACTGAGCCATCTCACTGGCCCCCTTTCTTCCCCCTCTTCATATCTTTCTTTTCTTTCTTCCTCTTGCCTTTTAAATCTTTACAGCCCTTTCCTTCTGTCTCCACTTTCATCTTTTCTCCCTCCCATCTCTCCCTCCTTTTCTCTTTATTTCACCTTTATTTGTTTCCATGTGGGTTTGATGATGTTTGGACTCGTTTAAAAAACTTCATCTGTCTGTATGTACCCTAATAGCAGAGCACATTAGAATCGTTGCCACATGATGCATGGTGGAGCAGCTGTTTCTCTTGTCCTTCGTCACTAGGCTGATACTTCCAGGTTGCATCCCTATTTCCTTATTTTATCAGAAGAACTTCATGGCCTAAAGAGGCAGAGCAGGCAGAGGACTGTTGAGTTATGGGGAATAAGAGGCATCCTCTGAAGACAAGCAACCTGTCACTCACTCGTTAACACACTTATGCAATGCTTACTATGGGTTACACATTATTCTATGATTCCTCCCCTCTTTGTCTTAAAAAAATATATAACTCATTTCATGCCCCAAAGCTGAATGAGGCAGGGACAGTAAATGACCTCACTTTATAGGTTAATAAACTGAAACCTGGGGAGGTAAAGCATTTTGTTGCATACCAAGGATTCAAAGACAAACTAAGAAGTTTTGCCACTACCTCTATATTTATTTTCCCAACATGAAAGACCAATTTGTTTATTCTCACCCCACTATCTACCCTAAACCTCTCCAGCTGGTTAACTTCCCTTCCCCCAGCTTCTCATCCCTATATAACCCTTTTCAGCCATGTGCTTCTTGGTCCCCTCTCTCTTGGTCTGCCTTTTCAACCCCCAACTCTCTTCATATGGTCCAGTTCAATCTACTGGCAATTGGCAATGTCTAGTTTTCTACTTTCTCTCCCTGCTCTGGATGCTTCCAGATGCTTTGGGCTGCACTCTCCCTCATATCTACAACAAAAACCTTTCTCTCAACCACAAAAACATGCTATTATTAAAAACAAACAAGCCATACACAGCGAGTGTGTGGCAGCACACACAAGACCTGACAAATTCAAGCCAGACAGAGTCCCACCCCTAACCAAGAAGCTCTTTACAATTAATACCCACTAGCAAAGGGGAAAAATCAGTTTTCTCTAATGGAGTATTACTGGGTATATCACACTCCATACTCCAGGGCAGGGTTGGCCAACACAAAATGAACTCCATGTTTTTTGGGGGCTTTTTGCTTTGGTATTATTTTTGTTTACTTGCTTTTTGTTTGTTTGTTTTGACTTTTCTTTGAAAGAAAAGAAAGAAAGAGCATAAAGTTGAGTAGATAGGGAGGTGAGGAGGATTTTGGAGAAATGGGGGGCAAACATGATCAAAATATATTGTATGAAGGATTATTTTAATAAAAAAACCAATTAAAGGTCGGGTGGTGGTGGTGGTGGTGGCGGCGGCGGCGGCGGCGGCGGTGGCGGTGGCGGCGGCGCACGCCTTTACCCAGCACTCGGGAGTCAGAGGCAGGTGGATCTCTGTGAGTTTGAGGCCAGCCTGGTCTCCAAAGTGAGTTCCAGGACAGGCACCAAAACTACACAGAGTAACTCTGTCTCAAAAAAAACCCCTTTATTTTTAAAAGTTACAACCCTCCTCTCCCAACATAACAACACACACTGAAATTAACCAGACCCAAAGACTATAGAACTCAATTAACTTGTGTATAATTAGAGTAGACATTCCGAACAAGAGCTGTGGAGCTTCCCATTGGAGTTTACACTTTCACTGCCAAATACACTTTTATGCTCTTGTATTAGTTAGGTTAGGGTTTTACTTCTGTGAAGTGACACCATGACCACAGAAACTCTTATAGAGGAAAATATTTAATTGGGGTGGCTTGCAGTTCAGAGGTTTAATCCATTATCGTCATGATGGGAACCATGGTAGTGTCCTGGCAGACATGGTGATGGAGGAGGAGCTGAGAGTTCTACATCTGGATTCTGAGGCAGCAGGGAAAGAATGCCATACTGGGTGTGGCTTGAGCATCAGAGACCTCACAGCCCACTCCCAGGGAGTGACACACTTCTTCCAACAAGGCCACACCTTCTAATAGTGCCACTGTCTATGGGACTATGGGGGCTAATTGTATTTAAACCACTACAGCACTTATTCA